TTTTATGATGCTGGCATCATATGGTGCTTCTGTTTGGCCGCCTTGGGAAAATAAATAAATAAATAAGAATAATAATAACAGAGTAAATAATAAATGTAATAATAATAGAGTAAAATAATAAATGTAATATAATAATAATAACAATATAGTAAATTAATGTAAAGGTAATAATAATAATAATAATAATAAAGTAAAATAATGTAATAAAAATATTGAAAATAACTGTAAAATAATAAATAACCTTGACTTGAGTAAAAACCAAGGGGGGCTTTTTCAGCCTAAAAGGGGCTGAAAAACTCGGCTTATATTCAAGTATATATGGTATATATTTTTTTTCTGAGGACCTAATTGTCAAGATTTGAAGACATAGCAGGTTTTGAACTCCTTGTGTGAGAGGAATCAGATTTATGAATACAGATCTGTCCAGTTCTAACTACAGGGAGGGGGGTGCAAAACATTTAATCCAACATTCCTCATAACAGTCTATCAGGAGGTAGCCAAAAATGGCAATAAAAGCTTTGCTTAACTGGGAAATTTTTTAAGTTCCAGCCCCTCTCCTTTTTTCTTAACTTCAGATTTGATATCAAGGAATGTGAAGCTTTCCGTTTCATCTATCACCTTCTTGTCCATAAGATAGGCTGTACATTATGCAGTTGCTATACAAGTTAATAACAACATTTGTATAATCAAATTTACATTTACTTCTAAAACACATCACTAAAATATGCAGGTATTTTTCTCCAGCCATTTATTTGCGGTTTTTATAAGCTGCCTTTCTGAAAAGAACATGTATATACAATATAATCAAATGTTGAAAGGTCCTTATGCTTCCTTTCAAAATATATCTCTACAATATGCAAGTATTTTACACTCCATGCAGATTTCACAATCCAAAATAACCATGTCTGATGGAAATCTTAATAACCTATAATGTACATGAAAACAAGTGAATCATGGTATGCTTCCAGTGAATTTAACAATTCATATTTCATATTCAGAAGCATTACAATGTTTTAAATATCTCCGAGAGCTTAATATCCTAATTATTTCTTTGCAACTCATACGAAGTTGACTTTTCAAAGCCTTACAAAGGTAGTAGAACCAAGTTTAAAATCTGATCAAATGTCTTCTACAATTTTAAAAAGCTGTTGTTAACAATGACTGTAAAATCTTTAAAAATTCTCCAAGGAACCTATCCCCATTCTTTCCATGATTTCCGTTTCTGCTTCTAGTAGAGAGCAGAAGTCTACCTGTCTTCTGCCTTCCAGCTGGTGAAACCCAAAAACATTGTTGTTTTCTTGCTTTGCAGAGAGAATGTTATTGAATCACTAAAAACACACAATGAGGAGTTAGAACATGCTGTGGAAATGCTCAGGAATGAAATTCAGAGGAAGGAAAGTGAATTTGAAGAAGCCCTCCTACAACTGAAAGAGCAGCAAGCCACAGGCCAACGGTAGGCTGAAACATCATGAAAAAGCCATAACAGTATCAGACCATATTGTTAGGGAAATACTACCCTGAAATATAGCAGAGCATCCAAAAACAAACAAGATACACACGTTGAGCATTAGCTCATTAGTGATCAGAGTGTGAAGTGTTGTGTGATGTGGCTGTAAAGAATTAACGGCTTATAATAATAATAATACTTTATTTGTACCCCGCTACCATCTCCCCAAGGGACTTGGTGCGGCTTACATGAGGCCAAGCCCACAATACATCAGCAAAACAACCATAACAGCAGTACAAAACAATAAAATGAAACTCATAAACAAAAACAAGCAGTAAGCATTAACAATAGCACAACAAGACTTAAAAACCTATGGCTAGGCCAAATGTAATAATTAAAACAGGACAGGAAAAGGCATGCAGACAATCCTAGATCATTGATAAAGTGCATTTAGGGACATATTGCTGGGAGTTTCCTTATTCTGGGAAGGCACACTGGAACATGTAAAACACATGTTTTCAGGCTCCTCCTAAAGACTGCCAGAGTTGGGGCATGCCTGATATCCTTGGGGAGTGAGTTCCAGAGTCGAGGGGCCACCACGGAGAAGGCCCTCTCCCTCGTCCCCACCAATCGCACCTGCGATGGAGGTGGGAGCGCGAGCAGGGCCTCTCCAGATGATCGAAGAGATCGTGTGGGTTCATATACAGAAATGCAGAAATGCGGTCACGAAGGTAGGCAGGTCCCAAACCGATTAGGGCTTTGTAGGTAAGAACCTGCACCTTGGATTGGGACCGGAAAATGAACGGCAGCCAGTAGAGCTCCTTAAACAGGAGGGTTGACCGCTCCCTGTAAGGAGCACCAGTTAACCTGGCAGCCGCCTGTTGAACCAATTGAAATTTCCGGGCCGTTTTCAAGGGCAGCCTCACGTAGAGTGCGTTACAGTAGTCCAATCTGGAGGTGACTAAGGCATGAACCACCCTGGCTTAGGAGACAAACACGCAGAGAGCAGTCTTTAGTTAACATCCAAATTTGGGAAATTGTGGTTACCCTAAACTATGGTTAGTGTCAACAAACCTAGGCCTAAACCATAGTTTGTTGATCCTGGCTAGTTTTCACAAAGTGGGTTAAACCACTGAGCTGCTGAACTTCCTGATCATATTATTAGGGAAATATTACCCTAAAATATAGCAGAGCATCCAAAAACAAACAAGATACAAAAGCTGAGCATTAGCTCATTAGTGAGCAGAGTGTGAAGTGTTGTGTGATGTGGCTGTAAAGAGTTATGGGCTTAGGAGACAAACATGCATAGTCCAATCTTTAGTTAACATCCAAGTTTGGGAAATTGTGATTACCCTAAACTAAAGTTAGTACCAACAAACCTAAACTTAAACCATAGTTTGTTGATCCTGGCTAGTTTTCACAAAGTGGGTCAAACCGCTGAGCATCTGAACTTCCTGATTGAAAGTGTTGGAGCTCAGCCTGTGATTGTGTTTCAGGATCAGGGTGCTTTTTGGATGTGGAGTTTCAAGATGGCAATGGTTTGGTCAATGATATTGATGCAGAGAATGAACAGGAGATACCTGTTCATGGTATACTCCATGAATTTCTACCAGAGAGTTCCCAGGATTTGGGGCTTGAAAACAACTCGACACCTGCAGAAGTTAATGAGCAAATAGATAGACGGCAGGAGATTAGTCAAAACAGACAAGCCGAGTAGTGGCTTCGGCACTCTGCCAGGCTCCAACAGAAAAAAGAAAAGGGAATCTCAATTAAAGCAAAACCAATTTCAGAGTGCTTGGGATAGCTTCACGAGGGGATAAAAGTCCCAAGTACAGGAAATGTAGTCAGATGAAACATTGTTTGGAATCAAGTTCTTGTCCTTGTTTCATGGAACCCTAGCTTGGAAGATCCATGCTTAAGTATTTCTTGTTTCATGGTTTTGATTCTTGGATTGTATGACTATATACACATGCCTTGGATCAATATTTCCTGGTTTTCTGGATTATATTAGAGAAGTGTGGACTTTGTTTTTATGGACTTTGCTGAGCTTTACCCTGGACTATTTTGTTCCTGCTTATCTTCTTACCTAATTCGATTTACCTATTTCTTTAAAGTGCTTTTTTACTTTGCTGCTTTTTAATTATCTCCAATAAAAGGATTGTTTTCCTATTCAACATGTGGTATTTAAAGTCAGAGGGTGTTTCCTGTTCTAGAGTGCGACAGCAGGTTCTAATCAGGGGAGCGGCGTAAGCTTCCACTGTTAGCCCCAACTTCTGCCAACCTAGCAGTTCAAAAACATGCAAATGTGAGTAGATCAATAGGTACCGCTCCGGTGGGAAGGTAACGGCACTCCATGCAGTCATGCCGGCCACATGACCTTGGAGGTGTCTATGGACAATGCCGGCTTTTCGGCTTAGAAAAAGAGATGAGCACCAACCCCCAGAGTCGGACACGACTAGACTTAATGTCAGGGGAAAATCTTCACCTATTGTTAGACCAAATCACGCCAGATATTGTGAGAAAGTCTGTTTGGTTTAAAATAAAATCTGGGAGCTGTTTGTATTTGCGTACGTGTCATGTATAGCACAGAAAGGAAGGAAAGGGGGAAATGCATGATTTCTAGACTCATTGTATTTGGTAAGCCATGGTTTTCTGCTACATCTGGACACAACTGACTGAGTTGGCATGATGGAAAGTACTAGTTAATGTTGATTAGCTGGACTCCTTAAGCTTACATCTGCACATCATAAATATCATTCAGTCCCACTCCTTTTATTTGAAAATAAGGGAGAAGTAAACCTCTTGTAAAACTCTGAGCACATTCCTACTATTTGTTTGATGTGAGGAGCAAAATTAATAAAAGCATGTTTTTGCATTAGAGCTTTTGGTGCTTAGGACGAAGCAACAGCAGCTATGTGTTTCCGCGCTACCGCTCTTTATTTGAAAGGTGCAATAAACCAGTTCGTCAGGCAAGAAAATGTTTGAAAGTGCTTTTTAATCTTCTCCAAAAGGACAGTTGACCGGGTGATGCCAAAACACAATGGATTCTGAGAGTCTAAAGAATTAAAAAACAAAGAAAAAGCATTTCAAGTCCTCAGCTGGTTTACAGATGTGTGCGCTTTGTAGTTTAATTTCTGGTTCCAGCATGGCAGTGGGACAATTTTTTCCAGTCTGTCTGTAACAGATAAGTTTTGGAGAAGAAACAATGTGTTTCAAGATGTGAGATTCTGTTCTGATGTTTATCATGCTTTATTTGGTATTCGCAGTTAAAATCAATTCAGGGGTTTCCTTTTAAACGTTTCTTGCTCCGAATACATGCAAAAATAATAATAATGAGGTCACCCGTCTCTGTTCAAGGGATACAGTTTGGAAAACATATCTGTACTTAGCTGTGTGATGACTTTTAACAAGATTAAATAGTGAAATTTCAATTGAATCTCAGCAGGAGAAATATATAACAGAACCTTGGCCATCTAGAATTTCGGTCAAGATGGTCAGCGTTAACATACATCTGCAGGTTATTTGAATGCCAATCTAAATGAATTATCTGTGTAAAATGCTAAGTCACTTTTCTTGAAAATACTTGAGGAAAGTTTTGAAGTTCCAGGAAATAGTGATTCCCTGACAGTGAGCGTTTGGAAGAAAGTGGCTCGAGAGTGAAAACAAATTATCTGCCTGTTGCAAGGATAAGGTTGCTCCTTTCACCTCAGCATCTTCCAAAGTTTCATAGCAGAAACCAGTATATCCAAACAATGACTGAAATCCAAATCTAGTCGAGTAAAACCTCGATATATTTAACAATCTGTAACACTGTTGTCGAAGGCTTTCATGGCCGTAATCCCTGGGTTGCTCTGAGTTTTTTGGACTGTATGGCCATGCTCCAGAAGCATTTTCTCCTGATGTTTTGCTCACATCTATGACAGGCATCCTCAGAGGTTGTGAGGTTTGTTGGAAGCAAGGCAAGTTGGGTTTATATATCTGTGGAATGTCCAGGGTGGGAGAAAGAACACTTGTCTGTTTGAGGCAAGAGTGATTGCCTCAATTGCGCACAGACAACTTTGTCATCAGTATATTGGAGTTCTATAACAGATGTTGTTGTAACCTTGGTTTTGGCTTTCAGTCTGCTGAAGTTAAATAGCTTGCCATCTGTCCGATAGATGATTTCCACTCCGGTGGGAAGCTTCCCATCAACAAGATGAAGTATCATAGTGCAATCCCTCTCCAATGCCAGAAATAAGGCTTAATGGTATATCATTAGAAAACGTTAACCATTTCCGCTATCTTGACAGCCACCGCTCCACAAAAGTCAACATTGACACTGAAATACAACACTACCTGAGCTCTGCAAGTGCAGCATTTTTCCGAATGAAGCAGAGAGTGTTCGAGGACCAGGGATACTAAGGTGCTTGTTTATAAAGCTATTGTCCTCCCAACCCTGCTATACGCCTGTGAGACGTGGACTATCTACAGATGTCACATGCAACTCCTGGGACGATTCCATCAGCGTTGCCTCCAGAAAATCCTGCAACTCTCTTGGGAAGACAAGCAGACAATGTCACCATGCTGGAAGAAGCAAAGACCACCAGCATTGAAGCCATGGTCCTCTACCACCAACTACACTGGACCAGCCACATTGTCTGGATGACCGACCACCATCTCCCAAAGCAGTTACTCTACTCTGAACTCAAGAATGGAAAATGGAATGTTGGTGGGCAGGAAAAGAGATTTAAAGATGGGCTTAAAGCCAACCTTAAAAACTCTGGCATAGACACTGAGAACTGGGAAGCCCTGGCCCTTGAGCTATCTAACTAGAGGTCAGCTGTGACCAGCAGTGCTTTAGAATTTGAAGAGGCACAAATGGAGGGCGAAAGAGAAACATGCCAAGAGGAAGGCATATCAAGCCAACCCCGACCGAGACCGCCTTCCACCTGGAAACCGATGCCCTCACTGTGGAAGAAGATACAGATCAAGAATAGGGCACCACAGTCACCTACGGACCCACCCTGGAGGATTATCCTTCTCGGACAACAAGGGATCGCATTAGTAAGTAAGAATGCTTCAGTTGATTAACTCCACTTGCCTCGTTTCCAACAAACCTCACAACCTCTGAGGATGCTTGCCATAGATGTGGGCAAAACGTCAGGAGAGAATGCTTCTGGAACATGACCATAAAGCCCATAAAACTCAGAGCAACCCAGGGATCACAGCAACCCAATCTGTAATGCTAATTTTAATAGAAAATATTTAAGTTAACTATTTAGAAACTTTCCTCTTCCCAGCTATGTTTAGGAATTAATGAGCCATAAAAGAACTAATTGAAAAGGTTTTTTAAAATTTTCACAGTAAAACAATAGTCAGTGGCTGTTGCACTGTACATTTTACCAATACTTTTCCTATCTCTTGTGTTTGAAAGGTTAACAATTCGCGACAATGTCACACTGATCAAGCTGCACAAGCAGTTGGCGGAGAAAAGCAATGAGGTTGCGGCAATGGAATCTAAAATGCTGCAGCTCGACGAGGTATGAAAAGACTTCTGCTAAGTATTTTCACTAGAGAGCCAATCCTCGTTATGCTCCAGTCAGCTTATGATTGAATAAACTTAAAAGCCTGAGACAAACACTTCCTTCTTATATTTGCCAAAGTGTAATGCAGATCTACCCGCTTACCTGGGAATGCACCTCCTCAGAACTCAGTGGGACTCACCTCTGAATAAACAGGGTTAGAATTATGCTGCTGCTAAAATTCAGATATATATGTACGTAGTTGCACTGAGGAATAAGTGGGGATTTGTGCTAACTCTGCAGCCCTGTTGATTTCTGTTTCGATTCAAGTCCCATTAAAGTCAAGTAAAGGTAAAGGTTTCCCCTTGACATTAAGTCTAGTTGTGTCCAACTCCGGGGGGTGGTGCTCATCTCCATTTCTAGGCCAAAGAGCAGGCGTTGTCCGAAGATGCCTCCAAGGTCATGTGGCCAGCATGACTGCATTGAGCACCATTACCTTCCCGCCAGAGCGGTACCTATTGATCTACTCACATTTGCATGTTTTCTTTTTATTTACTTAGTAGCTGTCCCCTGCCACGCCTTGCTGTGGCCCACTCTGGTGGTCATGGGGGTTCTGTGTGGGAGGTTTGGCCCAATTCTATTGGTGGTGGGGTTCAGAATGCTCTTTGATTGTAGGTGAACTATAAATCCCAGCAACTACAACTCCCAAATGTCAAGATTCTATTTTCCCCAAACTCCACCAGTGTTTACATTTGGGCATCTTGAGTATTCGTGTAGAGTTTGGTCCAGATTCATCATTGTTTGAGTACACAGTGCTCTCTGGAAGTAGGTGAACTACAACTCCAAAACCAAAGGACACTGCCCACCAAACCCTTCCAGTATTTTCTATTGGTCATGGGAGAACTGTGTGCCAAGTTTGGTTCAATTCCATCGTTGGTGCGGTTCAGAATGCTCTTTGATTGTAGGTGAACTATAAATCCCAGCAACTACAACTCCAAAAAGTCTTTTCATTTGTATTTTTATAGCATTTTAAAATTTTGTTCAGGGTTATGTAAAAAAAAACATGTTTTTTCAGTGGTACATTTGTATGTTTTTGAACTGCTAGGTTGGCAGAAACCTGGACTAACATCATGGAGTTCACCCCGCTCCCCGGATTTGAACTGCCGACCTTTTGTTCAGCAAGTTCAGCATCTCAGTGGTTTAACCCGCTGCGCCACCAGGGGAACCTAAGTTCAATCAAACTTATAGTTAAATATGTATATGGAAAGAAAGACTCACAGCAAGGCATGACTGCATCCACCCCGCCAGCCCTACATCTCACCACCCCTTATTTATTTTTTTGCTGTGAAAGATAATTGTTGCTGAAAGAATGCTTACCTTCAACTGCCTTCTCTCCACCATTGCCACAGAACCAAAGGCATCTTAAAGTCAGCCATGATGCACTTATGGCAAAAGGAGATGAACTGAATCTGCAGCTCAAGGAAGAGCGTTCAAAATGCCTCCATCTGGAGAGACAACTGCAAGCCAACACTTTTTCAAAGCGACGATTAGATGAGGTGAGGCTAAATCTTGTCTGACTGATAGTTTGCTTATCCTTCCTAGGAAATGGAGAGATGCACAACCATACAGTGTTTATCCCCTGATATTGATACAACTCATTTCCCATGCTCTTTAGATTATTCCCATCATTGTTTCTACTGCTATTACCTTAGAGTGGTTATTCATATGAAGCTGAGCAGTCTAAATAGGTCAAACAATGAATCATCAACCCTTGTCTTGTTGACATATTGGAGTTCATAATAGACAGTGAACTTTTTTAAGGTGTTGTGTTTGTCCTCAGTCATGATGATCAACAATGTCATTACACGGTGCCAACATGTGGCTTTCCAGATGTGGATGGAGTCCGTTCCCATATGCCCTAGTGAGCATAGCAAATGGCAACGAAGGGTGGTATTCAGAGGGATCTAAATGACCCCCATTTCAGGTACAATGGGTTAAGAGTGATATTTTGAATCACCACCATAGAGCAGGTAAAATGGTAAATTTAATGGGAATAACGTGAGTCAAACACACTGATGTTAATAAAATGGCTGGAATTTTTTTTCTTATTTAGCAGCACATTTAACTTTCAATAAGATTTTCATTTTATTTATTATTTATTATTTAAAGTTTTTGTATAACATTCTTCTGTAACCTTCATGGAGGGTCTCAGGATGGTTCACAGCAAGGATTCAATGCTAACAATAAAACCATTTAAACATAGTACATAACAATAAGTAAAATACAATAAGATAAAATACATTTAAAACCAGTTCGCCAAGATAAAACAAGGTCCAACTCGGTCAATACTTTAGCCATTTAGCGGTGTCAGCCATCATTCTGTGAATGCCTCGTTCCATAGCCAAGATTTGACTTGCTTCCTAAAGGTCAGGAGAGAGGGGGCAGATCTAACTTCATTTGGGAGAGAGTTCCATAGTCAGAGGGGCACCACAGAGAAGGCCCTGTCTCTCATCCCCATCAGACGCGCCTGCGAAGGTGGCGGGACCAAGAGCAGGGCCTCTCCACCCTTGATGGCTTGTAACGCCCTTGAGGGTTTTTTTTTTTTTTGGGGGGGGGGGGGGGGGGAAACAGGTAAACATTTTATTCATCATTGCTGTATCCCAGGACAGGAAGCACCTCTGTGCTTAACCACCACACTTCAGTCCAAGTTAAATCAGGAAAGCAGTTTATTGAGGTTTATACAAAAAGTAGTTCAGCAAAATTAGTAAAAATGTCAAAGTCCAAAGGAATGAAATAGTCCACAAGATTCAAGGTACAAAACTAGCATCGAAAACCAGGAATATAAAAAGACCTGGATACTAGGCTTGGGCAATCCATGGTTCTAAATGGTTCTAAAGTACTTACAAAACTAAAGTTCTGGTGATGAAAATTTCAGAACTCTAACAAAACTTTCAAAATTTAATTATTATTTCATTATTGGTGATTTTAATGACAGAACCAATTAGGAACTGCCATTTATTATGAAATTTTGAGAGTTTTGTTAGAGTTCTGAAATTTTCACCACCAGAACTTTAGTTTTGTAAGTACTTTAGAACCATTTAGAACCATGGATTGCCCAAGCCTACTGGATACACAAGGTATCATAAATCCAGTACACGAGAGACAGGAACAATCCTTTAAACTTGGAAGCATAGAACAAGAGCAAATGGAAACATGGAACTAGAAATCTCTTAGTAGGCTTGACTTGGCAAGAGATTTATCATCAATCACCAAAGTTGACCAGACTGCTGGGAAATCTCTCTGGTCTCTTTAATAAAGCCATGAAAGCATTCAATCTTTCCTGACTATCTGATAACGGCTTTTTCCTCTAACAAGCACTGTGACTTTCATCAAGTCTGTGAAGCAACTCAGAGTTTGCAAAAACTAATCCTCCTATCTATCAGCTCATTAACCTCTCCACCTGCCATTTCATCTTCTGAACTAACTTCCCTAGAGAAAGACTTCTCTGGGCTCCTCTCTGGAATGTGGCCTTCACTTTTACTAACTGTGGATACAGAGTGCTCAATTTCAGGACTTAAAATCTCATGCTGGCTCACATGCCCAGAAATCCCATGATCCACTTCCTCATTGACATTAGGAGCAGGCACAATCATGGGCTGAATTACCACAATCATCCCAGACTGCCTTACTCTTCTGTTGCATCATAGCTGTTATTGTGTGGTATAAGAACCAATCTACTATTCCTTGACAGCTAAAATAGTTCTGCCTGATTGTGTTTCTGTCAGTAATGGTTGATTTTTCATTTTCAGTTGCATCACTGCTAACAATTTTCTTCATTTCAGCTACAAGATACAATCAATGATTTGGAGAAAGAGCGGGACCTCCTAAAAGAAAATTATGATAAGTTATACAACAGGTAAATTATCAGATTCCCATTATTGATTTATAGATTAGTTAAAATAATTATTGATGAAATAAGGACAAGTAGACTTGAAATGAGAACTGTCTGATGGTAATTTAACAGTGAAATATACTGCCTCATAGAGTGATTGAGTCTTCTTGGAGGTTTTTAACAGAGGCTGGATATCTATCTGTCAGGAGTATTTTAATTGTGTATTCCTTCGTGACAGAATAGGGTTGGACTAGATGACCCTTGTGGTCCCTTGCAAATCTGTGGTTTTATTCTCCTACTAGCCGTCCCCTGCCACGCATTTCTGTGGCCCAGTGTGTGTATATGTGTTTTGTGTGTGTGTGTATGTATATATGTGTTTATACGTGGTTTGCATATGCATTGTAAGGTTTTGGGGGTTTTTTGCTTTTAAAATCTCTTCCAATGTGTTTTTCAGTGTTTTATGAGTGATGGTCCTTTGTTGGCCTGAGAGGTGTATTGTGTCCAAATTTGGTGTCAATTCGTCCAGTGGTTTTTGAGTTAAGTTAATCCAACAAATGAACATTACATTTTTATTTATATAGATTATTTTATTATTCTATTATTATTTTATTATTTATTATTTATATTATTATATATTTATTATTCTATTATTCTATGTTGTTGTTATTATTATTATTATTATTATTATTATTATATTTCTATGACCCTCTGCACATGCTCATGAACAGTAGCCTTGCTTTGCAGTGCTGGATTTCTTATTCTTATTATTATTATATTATTTTATTTATATTATTATTAATTTTAATGCATTTATTTTGGCTTTTTAAGTCCCTTTTGTGTTTTCCAGTATTTTTATGAGTGATGGTCACTCATTGGCCTGAGAGGTGTGTTGTATCCAAATTTGGTGTCAAGTCGCCCAATGGTTTTTGAGTTATGTTAATCCCAGAAACGAGCATTACATTTTTATTTATATAGAGCATTTGTAGCCAAAAAAAGAGTTCCTAGAGCAGCTTACAAGTTGTTAATTTGACAATTCCTTGCCTTTAGGCTTACAATCTAAAAAGACATGAAACACAAGGGAAAGGAGAAGAAGGGGGTTAGTCCAGCAAATGCTGGCTGCTCTTCTCTCCTTCGGACCAATTGCACTTGGTATGAAGAGCCTTTCCCCAGCCATTGGAAATGCCATCCTTTTTAGGACTTCTTATTTCCATTTACACTGTTACTACCAGGTTGTCTGTTTCACAAAGAAGACCGCATCAAAGCACTGGATGCTATATCTTTGCCTTCAGTTTAAACCTCAGTCTCCTTAAAAAAAGAGAGAGGGAAAAAGTAAAATGGACTCAAGTCTGGAGCTGCACTGGGCGTCATTTTGACTTTTGAGGTGCCAAATTGCCTAAGGCCAGAGCTGTGGCTACACTTGATATTTATGTAAAGTCGCTCCGAGGTAATAGCCTGTGTAAATTCTGTCAGCAGTGCTTAATATCACATAAATAAAAAATTAGGAGGCTAAACCTACTGAACATGAAACGAGATCGGGCGCTGAATTCATTTTCTGGTGCCGAACAGAAAATTGAAGCAATTACAGTCAATTTGCAGAGGCTTTAATGAGGAAACACCTGATAATGAAGCAGAAGGGGATGGGAGGAGACCCCCTCCAGTTATAGGAGATACAAATTGAGCTCTTCTTCAAAAGAGAAGAAGACTTAAACTTTTCATTTTATGGCAGGCTTGAAATATTTTGAATGCTAAAGTTTTAGGGGAGTGTGTTTGAAGGAATTTAAAAAACTACAATTCAAGTAGTAACTAACTATGTATTGTCGAAGGCTTTCATGGCTGGAATCACTGGGTTGTTGTAGGTTTTTTAGGCTATATGGCCATGTTCTAGAAGCATTCTCTCCTGACGTTTCGCCTGCATCTATGGCAAGCATCCTCAGGATGTTTGCCATAGATGCAGGCGAAACGTCAGGAGAGAATGCTTCTAGAACATGGCCATATAGCACAAAAAACCTACAACAACCCAAGCAGTAACTTGTATGAACTCCAAAGGGAGAATCAGGCCCAGACTGAACCCATTTGCAAGGAACAAAAGGGTGACAATGTTTTTCCTTAGAGCAGTGGATCTCAACCTTTTTTTGACCAGGGATCACTTGACAGGGACCACTTTGACCAGGGATCACTCTCCAACAGTAGTACAAAAAGGGTTACAAATCAGTTTTTGGTCAACTTTAGATTCAGTTTGGTTATTTGAGATGCCGATTCAAAAATTGCATTGGATAGACCACATCAGCTCTAGTTTTTGATAAAGAACATATGCCATATAACATTCACAACCTTAGCTGTGCAGATGATACCACTTTGATGGCTGAAAGCGAGGAGGAGCTGAGGAGCCTTCTAATCAAGGTAAAAGAAGAAAGTGCAAAAGCTGGTTTGCAGTTAAACATAGAAAAACAAGGTTCTGGCAACCGGACTGATTGACAACTGGCAAATAGAGGGAGAAAATCTGGAGGTAGTGACAGACTTTGTATTAGTAGGTGCAAAGATTACTGCAGATGCAGACTGCAGCCAGGAAATCAGAAGACGTTTGCTTCTTGGGAGGAGAGCAATGAACAATCTCAATAAAATAGTGAAGGGTAGAGACATCACACTGGCAATGAAGATCCACATAGTTAAAGCAATGGTTTTTCCCCATAGTAACCTATGGATGTGAGAGCTGGACCATAAGGAAGACTGAACGAAGGAAGATAGATGCTTTTGAACTGTGGTGCTGGAGGAAAGTTCTGAGAGTGCCTTGGACTGCAAGAAGTTCCAACCAGTCCATACTTCAGGAAATAAAGCCCGACTGCTCATTGGAGGGAAGGATAGTAGAGGCCAAGATGAAGTACTTTGGCCACATCATGAGAAGACAGGAAAGCTTAGAGAAGACAATGATGCTGGGGAAAAATGGAAGGAAAAAGGAAGAGGGGCCGACCAAGGGCAAGATGGATGGATGGTAGGGAGGGAGCTCTGGCATGGGCTGGTCCATGAGGTCACGAAGAGTCGGAAATGACTGAACGAATAAACGAATAAATGAACGAATAAACAACAAATGTGCCATCCAGTAGCCGCCATCTGCTCACCCACAGAAACCCATATTTAATAATCTAGAGCTGATGTGGTAGTAGTAATCTTTCATGAGTAGTCAGCATCTCCCCTCCGACATCCAAATTGCCTCGCACTATAAGAGTGTTTTGCAAGACCAGTCACTCTCATTGCTACGTGGTTTCGAGGCAACCGTGTAGTAATGATGAGGCCATGGACCGTATTTTCATTCTTGCAGACCACTGGTGGTCCACGGACCACAGGTTGGAAACCACTGCCTTAGAGGTATAGAAAGCTTACCGTTGGTTTATCTGAAATCTAAGTTGAATATAGAGATCCTATGGAGTTTCATAAGGGTGTCATTCCCATTCCTCGCTACTCTCTTTATCAGTGAGCTAGTCTTTCCTTCTGACTTTTGTCAATCCCCCCCCCCCCAAATTCCATTCTGTCCTGTTGCTGCATGAGCCTGCCATCTTGAGCCATTCAACATCAGTATTTAAATTCCCATTTTCTCTGCAAAATATTTAAATGAACATTTATCTATCTTTAAATTGACAAGAATATTGAGAGGGGAAGTGAAATCTATCAGATACCTTTGTTCAATCCACCCATTCGTTTCAGGGCCCTTCCACACAGATATAACCCAGAATATCAAGACAGAATATACTATCTCCGCTTTGAATTGGGTTATCTGAGTCCACACTGCCATATATTCCAGTTCAAAGCAGAAAATGCGGGATTTTATTCAGCGGTGTGGAAAGGGCCTAAGAGCTGCAGATCCAGACATTTTGTGTAAGAGTTCACAAAGATCAAATTGCTGTAGTATTTGCAGCAGGAACCACGCCAACATATTATTGTGCGCTCCTGGAAAAAAGCTTAATTTTCACACAGGGTTGCCAATATGGTGATGAAAGGGCTTGTGCTACATATTGTAAAGGACAACACAATATAATGGAATTTTATTTTTATTTATTAGTGTAATCCCCAAAGAAGATCAGCTTTGATAGAGGCCAAGACACATTAAGCTTATTTTAATTTTAAATAAGTAAACAAACGACCATATATGCGCATTTTTTGCTATTGGTGGTCAGTACCCTCCTTCAGGTATCGTCAAACAAAATCAAAACCCCAAAATAATACATTCTTATCCAAACATCAACGGTATGTCTAGCTCAACTAGTATTTCACAATCAATAATAATTTTGGTGTTCTGATCAGATGATTGTGGAAATCCAAGAGGCCAGTTTCCCTTAGGAATGCGAGTTGCTAGCCTTTGCTTTCCTTTGACCCTCTAATACTGATCCGGTCCTCCTGCGTACCATCTGCTGCCTAACCAGCCCTTCTGTAAACCCAGATGGTTTTCAAAATGTAGCAGGATATTTTTTTTCTAAATGAACTCCAAAGACATTCCAGGGGAATCCAGTCCTAAATGTAAAGGAGATGATAACTGCATATTGATTTTTGGAATGATCTTGTATTCCTTTAAAGTTAGCATTATGTGGATTTGGAGAAAGTGGAGTTGTAGGCTCTTCCGAGTTTTAACGAAGGACAGATTCCAAGGTTGGAAATGTATACAGGGCTGTTAAAACTGAACTCAATGAACTTATTCAGCAACTGAAAACAATGTGTAAGTTAATTTAGGAGCCAGTGTGGTGTATTGGTTTGAGCACTGGACTTTGACTTTGGAAACTAGAGTTTGATTTTTCACTTGGCCGTGGAAACCCACTGGGTGACTGTAGGCAAGTCGTGCCCTTTGGCTTCCAAAGGTCCCATAAATCAGTAAGGACTTGAAAGCATACAACAGCAACAGACATAAAATACACACCATAGATGTGATCATACTGTTGCACTCCTGAACAGGAGTATCCCTCTGACTTCAAAACACCACACATTGAGTAGGAAAACAATCCTTTTTTATTGAAAATAAATAAAAGCAGTAAAGTAGAAAAAGCACTTTAAGGGAATAGGTAAATTCAATTAGGTAAGAAGATAAGCAGGAACAAATTAGTCCAAGGTATGGTTCAGCAAAGTTCAAAAACAAAGTCCAGACTTCTCTAATAAAATCCAAAGAAACAGGGAAACGTTGATCCAAGGCATGAATAGGTAATCACCAGAGACAATGGGTCAAACCATTCAGCAAGAAATCCTTAAACATGATTTTTTCAAGCATGGCTGCCATCACAAGAGCAAGAACTTAGCAGGATTCTAAAATGATGCTTCATCTGACTATTTTTCCCATGCGTGGAACTTTATATCCTCACATTAAGCCATTACAAGCACTCAGAAATTAGTTTCATTTTCCCTGAATGCCTCTCATCCTTATCTGTCAAAGCCTGGCAGAACCCTGAAGGCCTTGGTCGAACTGTCCGTTTTGACTAATTTCGACCCGCCTGTCTATACGCTCATTAGTCCCTGCAAGTGCCAAGTTGTTTTCAGGCCCCAAATCCTGGGAACTCTCTGGGAGCAATTCAGGGAGTAAACCATCATCCCTATACCCTGTGTAGGAACATTCTCATTGGAAACTACACTTGAAACAGGTGCCTCTCTGTCATTCTCTGCATCAATATCACTGACCAAACCATTGCCATCTTGAACCTCATTTACATCATTCCTCACATCCAAAGCACTCTGATCCTCAAACACAATCATAGGCTGAACTCCAACACTTACCACACAACTCTGCACCTCAAGAAGTTGAAACTTATCTTCCTACCCATTTTGAGACTCATCCCAGTTGCAGCTTTTTCAAATCATTCTTACAAAAGCTATTTCCAGGTGTTTGTTGTTACTCCCATTTAATAGATCTGGGAAACGGGAAATGAGAAAGAACATGTTGTCTGTCCAGATCATGGCTGGAATGTCCCATGCTTTCCAGGTCATGAGTATTAATGCAGTTTTGCCGATACGATGCCAAAAGGCAGAGCATGGTCAGTTCTTCAAGGATAAGATCACAGGCCAAGCAGTTAAGGATGATCTATAAGCAATTGCATAAGAACAGGCAGGGAATTACGGCATGGCATTGAACCAGATATGTACTTGGCCACTCACTTGATCACCTGTGGTCAGTAAAAATCACCTTCAAAGGCCTTGTTATGGAAGTTTCACAAAAACTGTGTGTGTTTTTAATTGACTTTACAAATAACTGAGAAGCTTTCGGCAAACAAACCAATGCCTTCACAAAATATACCTGTGATGGACTTGGGAGTGAGACAAAGTGTTTTCCAAGAAACTTAAGACAAGAGCAAGTTCACACAAGGAGATGCGGTCAATCAAATACTGTGGGCTTAGGCTATATATAATCAACTCAAAGGCTTTGTAGCAATGAACTAACATCTAAAAATCTGATTTCTTTATTTGTTCTATAGCTTCCGACATCTGCATTCAATAATAGTATGGACTCTTATATAACTTCTGAAATTCATTGTGGAGGTTTTTTTTCCGTGTCAGGAGCAGCTTGAGAAACTGCAAGTCGCTTCTGGTGTGAGAGAATTGGCCATCTGCAAGGACGTTGCCCAGGGGACGGCAGGATGTTTTTTGATGTTTTACCGTCCTTGTGGGAGGCTTCTCTCATGTTCTCACATGGGGAGCCAGAGCTTACAGAGGGAGCTCACACACACAGAAACTCATAACACACAAGACATTTGGATGCAAAAAATGTAGTTTTAAACATCCATGCTGGTTTTCAAGTTCTGAATCTTGTATTTTCTGGGCCATATTTTCCCCTCCTCCTTTTCGTGGTCTTCAAGAGCCGTGCTGTTGCCTTCTTGGCCATGTTAACAACACAGATCTTTTGGTTTAAGGCTATAAAGTTGGCTTAAGAGTACAAAGGCTTTTTAATACATTACAGAAGACCCATTTTGTGATCGGAGAATGGCCGTTCCTTTGTGGCCGATGTTCCTTTGGACAGGCAACTGGCCTCGGGCGTGCTCCCTTCCCTCCCACTTTAAAAACCAGATCAGGTGGGAAATCAAATCTCTTGTACATGGAGACGGTCCTCTGCGGAAAAGATGGTTCTGTCAGTAGTCTGTTGCTGAGGTTTTGAGTGGCGGATTCCTCTGGAATCGAGCTCTGAATTCCTCCCCGAGCCCCCACCAGTGTTTGGAGTCTGCCAGCTCCTCTGGCTCTAAATTGAGGCCAGCCCTGTTGCTCATCCCACAAACCCTTTCATCTTCCATGACCGCAGCCTCAGAAAGGCGCCTCCGTTTCAACAGCAGCAGACCAGCATGTGTTTGCTTAATTCCTAAGACATGATGACAATGATCTCGGCCGCTAAAATGGCTTTCCTCCTTCCAGCCCACCTCCCTTTCTCATTATTTGCTGTTGGGGTCAATTGCTGAGCGTTCTTCACACGCCATTTGTGGATCTCTTTCTTTTGTCTTTGATGCTTGGCTTATTTTCCTTCTTTTTATCCCTCAGTGCCTTCGGTGTGACCCATGACCAGAAATGGAAGCTGAAGGAGCAGCAGCTGAAGGTGGAGATTGCTCAGCTCGAGGCTGCCTTAAAGTCCGATTTGGTAGATAAAAATAACATCCTGGACAGAATAAAAGTGGAACGAGGTATATTGCAGGAAAGGAAGCTTAGGGTGTGATGTGCACATGAATGGTTATTTTTCCCCCAACTTGGTAAGGTTGTATATCCAACAACATAGGAATCTCCCTTGTACCAGGTTAGATTTTCTGTCCTATTTATGGAAGTATTGTGTACCTTGTTGGGTGAGTTGGCTTATTAACAAAGACCCTCCTCATATATGCACAGCATAGTAACTTATCAGCAGCATCACCAGTAGCCTAAAGTGATAAAAAGAACAAAAACACACAGAGCAATGTTATATCTTCCTTAGGAGGCATTTCATTATAACAAAATAATATGGCTGCAATATTTACAAGAACAAGGTTTCCATGGCACAAATAAAGTTCAACCTTCACACTGGAGCTTTACACACGAGGCGTTCTCATACCGAAGCATACCACACAAACTAAGGCCTACCTCACACAAAGGCTTCTCTCACAGACTGAGGCCTACCTCACGAGGTGAGGCCTTCTCACAGACTGAGACCTTTCTCCCACTAACGCAAACAGAGAGGCCTACTAAGCTACAGGCACACCTGCTTATATAGAACTGGCCTACCTCACACAGAGGCTTCTCTCACAGACTGAGGCCTACCTGATGCTGCGAGGCCTTCTCACAGACTGAGACCTTTCTCCTACTAAGCCAAACTAACAGAGAGGCCTGCTAAGCTACAGGCATGCCTGCTTATATAGAACTGGCCTACCTCACACAGAGGCTTCTCTCACAGACTGAGGCCTACCTCACGCTGCGAGGCCTTCTCACAGACTGAGACCTTTCTCCTACTAAGCCAAACTAACACAGAGGCCTACTAAGCTACAGGCACACCTGCTTATATAGAACTGGCCTACCTCACACAGAGGCTTTTCTCACAGACTGAGGCCTAGCTCAAACAGAGGCTTCTCTCACAGACTGAGGCCTACCTGACGCTGCGAGGCCTTCTCACAGACTGAGACCTTTCTCCTACTGAGGCAAATTTACACAAAGGCCTACTAAGCTACAGGCACGCCTGCTTATATAGAACTGCAGCTTTTGCTGAGTCGTTACATCCATTTAAACCTTTCAGTGCTTGACTCACATTTTTGTAATTAAAAATAGCTATTTAATATTTAATATTTCTGACATACCTGTCCATCAGCGGATTTCCAGAGACACAAGGTGCATCTACGCTGGAAAAGTAATGCTTTGACATCATTTTAATTGCCGTGGCTCAGTACTATGGAATGGTGGGAGTTGTAGCTTGGAGAGACATCAGCACTCTTTAGCAGAGAAAGGTAAAGATTTTATAAAAATCACAGCTCCTATGATTTTGAAATATTGAGCCATGTCAGTTAAAATGGTGTCAAACTGCATTACTTTTTATTGTATAGGTGCACCCTTAGTCAGAATGTCCAATTTTGAGTAGGAGACCTCTTCCTTCCTATTTTGTCCATCCCTATGGAACCATGTTGGCCTATGGACATTGTGATACGCAGCGCCTGGCATGCCTCATCATAAACTGTGCTGCCTTGGGCTTCTTAGAGTTTTACAGGATTCTCCCTCTCACCTTTTGTGGTTTAGACAAGCAGGGGAATGATTTGGAGCTGAAGTTTAGTTGGTTGCCATGTCCAAAACCAATTAAGGTAGACCCACGGTCGCAGAACTTGGATATTTTTCCAAACTGAAAAGCAAGTGAAAAATATACTACTTTAGGTGGGAGCTGCCATGATTAAAAGGTTCTCTATACCCAGCAAACAAACAAACTAAGAAACCCTTTCACAGTATTGTCAGCGGTAAGAGCTACCTTTCTCTCTGGCACAGTGGTATTTCAAGATTCAAAAAAGTGGACTAGTCTTCTCATTGAGCTGATTAACAATTGAGGAGAGTTCCTCCTGTCTCTTTTCTATCCTATCGGTTTAGCCATTTGAAAACGCCACATGTTCGTTTAGATCAGTGGTTCTCAACCTTCATAATGCCATGACCCTTTCCCCAGTTCCTCATGCTGTGGTGACCCCCCAACCATAAAATTATTTTTGTTGTTACTTCATAACTGTAATTTTTCTACTGTTATGAATCGTCATGTAAATATCTGAAATGCAGGATGTATTTTCATTCACTGAACCAAATTTAGCACAAATACCAAATACAGGTGGGGTTAGGGGGGATTGTTTTTTTTTTTCATTTGGGAGTTGTAGTTGCTGAGATTTATAGTTTACCTACAACCAAAGAGCATTCTGAACTCCACCAATGATGGAATTGAACTAAACTTGGCACACAGAACTCCCATGACCAATGGAAAATACTGGAAGGATTTGGTGGCATTGACCTTGATTTTTGGAGTTGTAGTTCACTTATATCCAGAAAGCACTGTGGACTCAAATAATGATGGATCTGGACCAAACTTGGCATGGATACTCAATATGCCCAATTGTGAACACTGGTAGGGTTTGGGGGAAATAGACCTTCACACTTGGGGTTGCTGGGATTTATAGTTCACCTACAATCAAAGAGCATTCCTAACCTGACCAACGACAGAATTGGGCCAGACTTCCCACAGAGAACCCCAATGACCAACAAAAAATACTGTGTTTTCTGGTGATCTTGGCGACCCCTCTGACACCCCCCCCCCCCCCCCCCCCCCACAACCCCCCTAGAGGTCCCAACCCTCAGGTTGAGAAACACTGGTTTCGATAATGCCAAACCACTTTGGCTCTTTGCTTTGCTCCCCTTCGCCCTCTCTCCATCCTTTGCCTTCCACTCCCAGCTCAATGAGCAGATTAGTTTCAGGTTTTGTCATTCTTTTGGTTAGGAAAGTTTAAATGCAGTTTAATGTTTAAATTAATTGCAGGTTTAAGAATCTTTATTTTGTTTGTCTTTTTAGCATGAATGCGTAGGTCAGCACCCTATGCATATTGATTACAGATGATGGGACTAGCATGAGCGGGTTTTGACAGCTGTTTGTTTTAGCAAGCGATTATCATAATCTTTGTTTTCTTAAGTTCCCTGTTTGTGTATAGTAGCAGGAGAAGATTGCTGCATGCTCACAATGCACAATCTTGATCAAGTTACACAAGTAGCTGTATAGATCCATTAGTCTAGTTTCACACAAGACTTCTGAAATACGTTGCTAGTTCGAGCAGGAATAAACCCATTAAATCATTGAGAGCTTGGTAAATGAACATCTAGGATCTGTTAATTCCACTGGTCTACTCTAGTTGGCACTAACAATGGGATTTGGGTCTATATGTCTAAGATTGTTTCTACGAACATCAGATTAAGGATCCAAAAACTTAATGAAACAACTTTATCCGTCTTGCCTTATTTGTGCTGGAGTGTAAATCCTTTGTTTTTCACCCAAAAAGAATGGATCAGCCCAAAGGTTTGTGCCGTAATTGATATGGACAAAGAGTCATCTTAAAAAGCTTTCATGGTCCTTGCTTAAATTAAATTGTAGATCATGGCCCAAGTTATATGCAAACCAAAAAAAATCATAATCTTTACAGAATTCCATACATACATAGAGATACACATTATATCTATGATAACATTGAACAATATGGCTCTGAAACATTAAAATATTTATGTCTAGGGCACCAAGCTTCTCTCTGTGTTCAATTACTCTAGAAAAAGTGGGAGCCAAGGGAGGAAAAGGAACTGAAACCTATGCCCTAAAGACAGACAGAAGAAGCCCTAAAAGATCCTATAGGCATCAATGTTATTGTCTCCTAAATGCTAAAATAAACCCTTGTATTTTATGCTAGTGCAAAGGCTAGTGGCTTAAACTAATATATGCAGACTGAATTGACAGTGTATGTATAAAGATGTCTCTTGCCTTGAAAATTGATCTCTCTATCCTCAAGGCAGCCTTTGTGCATCCCCCAAACTGGCTCTGAAGGGCTGAATTTTGAGACACCCCCATGACGAAGAATAATGAAAGCCAACAGCGAGGTGTTGATTATTAGAATATCATTATTATTATAAGTAGTAATAGTAGTAGTAGTGGCAGCAGTAGCAGTGGCCCCCCTGGTGGTGCAGTGGGTTAAACCACTGAGCTGCTGAATCTGCTGACCAAATGGTCAGCAGTTCAAATCTCGGGAGCAGGGTGAGCTCCCATTGTTAGGCCCAGCTTCTGCCAAACTAGTAGTTCGAAAACATGCAAATGTGAGTAGATCAATAGGTACCGCTTGTCGTAGGGAAGGTAATGATGCTCCATGCAGTCATGCTGGCCACATGACCTAGAAGGTGTCTATGGACAACGCTGGCTCTTTGGCTTAGAAATGGAGATGAGCACCACTCCCCAGAATTGGACACAACTAGACTTAATGTCAAGGGGAAATCGAACCGCAGAAGCGGATTTTAGCCAAGTCCCATGCAAAAGACACACAGGCAAGAGGAAAAAGGAACAGAAAAACTTTACTCTTATCAGCAGAGGCATAAACTTGCAGTGTTGCATACAAAATCAAACAGTGCAACAAACTTACATAGTCCTTGTAAGTAACACAGAATAAGGCTTTTTCATCTTCATGAGAGAGCAAACTATAAACCTTGAGTAAATAGTTATTCCACCATAGCAAAGAGCATCGCTGTTCAGCATAGCAGCATTACAGCATTACAGCATATTGCTTCTCCAAGTAGCGTATTGCTTCTCCAAACTATATTCTAAAATCCCTACAGTTATGCCCCACCGGGTATGACCCAAACATGCTGGCTGACCTACATTACCAGCTGTACATAATAATTAACATTGTAAGGATTTTCTTTAACACACACTTGATCCTTCTACGACTCAGGTAAAAACCTTTACCTTTACTTTAGTAGTAGTGATGTTAACTTTATTTATACCCCACCTTTGTCCTTGTTGGACTCAAGGCAGCCAACAAACACACAATTTAATGACAATTTAAAACAAAACAAATACTTTTTTAAAAAACAAGTAAATATTAGTATGTGGATATACATTTAAAATTAAATTAAAAAACAGTAAATATTGAAACTTCTTATTTGAATCTGAAAACATTAGATAAGTGGTGTTGAACATATTCCAGAAAAATTTGAAAA